AAAGTTTTATTAAAATTGTACTATAATTAAGCATTTGTGTGGTTCTAAAGTGTTAAAATATTGTATTGTCACCGGGAATACGTGTGTATACAAAATTTGAGCTCGATTGGAGCAATAGAAGTGGTCGAAAAATCGATTGCAAGATTTGAACGTGACATACAAAGAAACCAACAGAGCAACTCAATAAAAAGCGTGTAATAAAAAATAAGGAACAAGAATGTGCTTCTTAATTCAGAGTTGGTAATCTGAAGGTTTTATATGGGTCTCATTGAGCGGTACTTAACGATAAGCTGTATCTTCTGTGGATAAGTTCTCATGCTTATTGAGTTGTATAGTGTCTCAAATGGTGTCAATTGTGTCTGAAAGCCTGATCGTCTTAAATAATTTAATTAAAAAATCTATAAAAAAAGTGTAAGAAATATTTGTTTAGGTTCCTGATACGTCAACTCATATAAGACATCCAATTCAACTCTGTAATCTTCATCGCATGCAAAAACCCCGTCAGAATTATTTGAAATGTAAATTTTTCATTTCGATTCTAATTAAATACTTGACACCATATGTTCAACTTCAACTTTCATGCTTCGTTTCGTACTTTTTTTTGTTGCTGTATTATTTTGAAAAATTGCCTCAAATGTTTTATTGCTGCTCACAGCAACAGCACAGGCGACTTTAAAATGAAATGCCAGTTGGATTTGAATTAATTTTCTTCTTCTTCCTTCTTGCGCTATGTTCATGTGTATTTTATATTAAATACAACACATTTTTATTTTATTTCGATAAATGCGATGGCACACGTTGTCATTATCATAAATAATAATGAGAATGAGGATGAAACAATGTGTTTTTTTTGGGTATCGAAAAAAATAATCGCATGAAATATTGAAATAGAGAGGAAATTAATTTTTTAGACGATGCTTTTGTTGCTGGCTTAAAAATAAATTTTGCTGGTAAATCAATAGTTTAAAAATAAATGTATTTGAATAATGAATTAAAATTGAATATTTTTGCAAAATCACATTCGAAAGTTGATAAAATAATAATTTTGGAGATACAAATGTGTAGACAGAGATAATATTTGTGCACTAAAATGGCTAGTTTGTGTGATTTTGTTTGGATAGTGAGGTGTTGTTCAATAGTAAATAATGAGATGATCATATTATTGGGATGATATAGCTACTGTTCAATTTTAAGACCAGGACTGGTTACAAATGTTGTTAAAAAATTCGAATTTTCGTTTGTTTTGAGGCTAAAATCGAAAAATTACTGTTAGAGTCACTATCTTGCCTCCTTTATTCTTATAAACTTGGCTTAACCATTGTTCTGCTTCAAACATTCAGACACATTTGAATTAGTTAACCAGACTCCTACCTGACCCCCAAAAATCAATATTATTTGACTTTCCAAATGACGACATCAACAGTGGCTCTATATTAACTCCAAAATGTCATTAATCGCTGATAAACAGTCGAAATATTTTAATAAACATCCAAAACTTCACAATAAATATAATAATTGCCATCCATACCCAAAAATACATCCAATACACTCAATTAAACTCCAACAACGATTAACATCGCACCTTATACATCCAATCGACAAATTTATTAACACACTCTCTCTCTAATTTCATCTGTTATTGCCAGTGAACCAATTTATCTTACTCGATGATGTCTTATTAGACACAACTTATTTAGAATTCTTCACCTTTTAAAGGCATTTTTTTTCTTTGAATATTTTAAGAGACTTGAAAATTATTTTAAAGATCTCAGACATAAAAATTTCTTTCTACGGTAAAAAGAATCATTTTTATGGCTTTATTTCTACTTAAAATTCAAGTGATGATTCACGGCATTAAAATTGAAATATTAAAATCGTAAATATGAAAAAAAAGAAAAGAAAAAGTTTTGAGCTTCTGTATTTCTTGTACCTTCTTCTTATTCTGTTTTACTCGTGTACTCTTTTGTATGCTGACAAAATTAATCAAGCATGAAGCAAGAGAATGAAGAAATTCAGCAACAAGTGATATGATGTGCAAGGTGCTGAAGATATTTGTAAAGAAGATGTAATGACAAATTTATGAAATGTCGAGAATTTTGAGTGGGGGTTAAAGGTGGTTGAGAGCTTCAAATTAAATAAGATGTAGTTCCTTGTATTGTCCCCATTAAATTTACAAGTTCAGTTCCCACAAATATTCTCTAAATAAGCTAAAAATCATCAAAATTCATTTCTAATCTTCACCAAAAACTCATCAGCCATCTGTTGTTCTATTTCTATTTAATTCATAATTCCCTACTAAAACTGAAATCCCCCCTCATAAGGTTGTTCAACTCTCCTATTTATATCATCTAATCTATTCAAATAATACAAATTTTATGCAATAGGGAAGTTAAATTTTTCAGCAATAAAAAGCGGCAGCAGATAAGAAGCAAATTACAAAATAATAATAAACAATTTATTATAAATTCATCAAAAATTCCATAACGCATCCACGCGTCAAATTCACTTTTTATGATTATTTATATGGCGTTTCCAGGAAGATACAAAAAGGTGCAATTCACAATATTTTTTTGTGTGTTTCTTTTTTACTTTCTAAATAAATTTTATTGAAAATAATAAACTTCTTCCCTTATGAATATATCATTTATTGTGACTATATCTCACCTGGCGCTTTCAGTAAAGGGCAATCAAAATGGATATAAAAATGTGCTTGATTGAAGAAGAAGCAGTCAAAATAAATGTGAAGGCGTTATTGAATTGCTTTTAGACTCAATCTGACAATATAAAATTTATGAAGTGCTTTGGAAGATTATTGGGGATTTTGGGAGATGGGGACTTGGAAACTGTGTCAAAATTAATCTTGAATATGAATTTAAAAAATTTTATATTTTAATAATTATCTGATTCAAAAATGCATCTCTGGCTTTATGCTTGACTGGAACAAAATTTATTTGAGTTAAAGACATTTACGGTTTATTCCTTTATTAAATGGCTGGACACTTTGTTAAAAATTCACATAGACAACGTTAAATCTGAAGATGTGGCTCGAAGAGCACATCTGTAGTAGATAGTCCTGAGCTTAGGGCTCGGAGTGAAACTGGTTGTATGTGTATGAAGGATAGCCGAAGTAAGATAAGTACCTCGGTGACCGAGTGGCAGGAATCTCTGATCGAGTGGTGAGTAATCGCCTCTTTTGGAGTCGCGGGTTCGATCCTTATCAAACCTGATTTGTTTTACATTTGTATACACATACGATAGTTATAGAGAAATCTACAAAATCTTCACAATTCTGAGACTAGTCTGATGCAGATTATCTCAGATGCTTTAATACCATCACTATGTTTTTGTGGGTCTCTGTTACTCAAGATAGGTGGGATAAATTGATACACAATTTTAAAAAATAATAAAACAAACCTTAGCATAGCCCCTTCACAGTAGCATTAAAGACCATTCTAAAAATATGAAATATCAGAAATATCTCTAAATCCATTAGCTCCCTGTCTTTTTCATTCTCTACATATATATCTCTTTAATTCCCGTACGTCTCGACCTGGAAAATGCTGTAAAACACAGAAAAAAAAGTTCTCTTGACTGTCATGTTCATATCACTTCACACTCACTTCCCTATTTCAATATTATATATTGTGATATTTTTCGTTCATCGTACACAATAAAACTCCCTGTTCATCTCATCTGTTACAATTTTGTCAAAAAAAAAGTAACTGAAAAGTTTTGTTTTTATATCACATGATGAAAAATATTGTGTATATGTGCGATTTCACATACGTTTATATGCACCGATCCATACATGAAAGAATTTCTTCTTTATTTTATTAAATTTCGAGATACGAGCACTAAAAAGTGAAAATTTTCACAACAACACATGCTACTGACTTATTTTTCTTCTTCTTCATCCGCTGCTCTTATGCTGATTAATCGTTTGAAATGTTTCTTAAGATGAAATTGGATGAGGAAAATCAGATGCAGTTTAGCTTCTATGATTTTTTGTAGTTGTAGTCAGATTATGACAATTTAAAAGTGATTCAGATTTTTTGCAGGGATTTGATGGGTGTATTAAGTAGGTCTGAGGTCTTATTGTATGTCCAAGGGGTTCTAATGAAATTCATTCAAATCTAAAGAGCCTCAATCAAGCCTAGAGAGTCTCAATTGACTCTAATTGAGTCTCATTTGACTCAAAAAAGCTTCAATGGAACCTAGAGAGTCTCTTTAGAGCCAGTAAACATTAAAATGACATCAAAAAGTGACAATCGTCAATTTAAAGCTTCTTTAAGTGGCTCAGCAGATTTAAAATAGTGCCATTCTATCTTCATCACCGCTGACACTCTCAAAAATATAGTCTCTCAAGTAGATTCTTGATGTATTTATAATTTAATTGCTTCAATGACAAGGAACATTTTGCATAAGAAACCAAACAACTTTAATAGCATTAATCAATACCTCACCAAACCCGTAAATTTTCATAAGAACTGACAAATGTGATCTAATTTTAAAGTCTAGTTAAAAACAACACAAATTCATCAATCACTTTCCGAATATAATCTCCTAAAACTTCTTCATTAACTAGTTGGAATTCCAACCCAAACCCTGAATTTATTCAACTTTAAAAAATATTTTACAAATTGCTCTTGTTACGAAATTTCTTCTCGTTCTTCATCCTCTTAAATTCTTTCAATCTTTTGCATTTTCTAACTAGCACGATGAAAATTAATATGGTTACATTAATTGAAAACTTTTTTTTTCTCATCTTCTGTGTTTATCTCATCGTCGTTTGCTGACTAACTTTTTTCAGCGTCGTGGATGTATCTTAGTGCTTTCTGGAATTAAAAAGAATTTTTTAGTGCAAAAAAGAGAAAAAAAATGTTGAAAAAATAAGAAGACAAAGAGATAATAAGTGAATATAATGCGTAGTTAAGACAAACGACAAAGAATCAGTAATTTTTAATTCGTATCGAGTAACAATAGAAGCAGTAGCCAGGACAATGGGCAATACCAACTCATCTTCACAAAAACGTGATGGAAGGAAGTGTCAAAGTTTACCGTGCTCGCCAGACATTCGAAGGTAAAAGAAAAATCTCTCGTATGAGGAAAGAAAAATTCAATTTCAATGGAAATTTTAATGGACCGAAGGAGTGAGATGGATGGTCATGTTAAAGTTTTTAAAAAAAAAGAGATAGAAAAAAGTTTCATATAAATTTTATTTAGTAAGCAATATACAGCAAGCATTTTTCATGTCTCTTTTCTTCAATCCTTTGTTTTTGTGATTTTAAAACCTGCAACTATATTCTTTTTAATCTCATTGCATGTCTCGAGAGAAATTAATCTTCTACGATATATTTTCTTTATTGAGATTTTTGCAATTTAAAAGTTAAATTTCTTTTGTTATTGCATTTATTGTTGGGATCGGAAGTGCTTTTTTAATTGAAACTAGTTGCTATACAGTTTATTAAGAGTAATTTTGATAATTTTAAGATTTATTATGGTTTTGGTTTGCTTTTTAATCAGGCATGGGAAATTTCTGATCCTCATGTATGGGATCGATCTGACGGCTGTCAAAAACATACATTTTTAAAATGACTCTACCCCCCTACCCCTCACAAGGGTAAGAATTTATTTTATTTGAACTGTCATTTTAAAAACCTAGCTTCCGATAAAATAGATGTCATTTATGAACGACCCCTTTAGTGTTCCTTAAAAAAAATTCAGAAATCTAGACTTGAAAAGCTGGACAGCACTTATGGATGATCCCATATATTCACAAAAAGGTTAATATCCATAACAACACCCACATTAATTTGTCAATCAATACAAATTTCTGTATCATTTTAAAATGTCAAATAATCCGATTAAAAATAAATCTCCTTAATCCCAAAAATGACTTTCAAACCGAAAATTCATCAGCAAAGCTTCCATTTTTAATCCTTTGCAAATTTTCAACCCATTTCTCAAATTGTGTAGGTTTCATTCACCTTTAATTTATTATATTGTTCATTTTATTATCCATCAATACACAATAATCCAAGAGAGAAAAACCACCTCAGACGTTGGCTAGCCAACATTTAAATCTATTGTTGTGCAGTCGTTTAATAAAATATAAATTTATTGAAAAATTATTATGAAAAGATAAATAGAAAAAAAAATTGTTGTTAAATAAAAAAATTGAAATAATAAAAATATTGCATTGTGAAAGCAAACCAAAGCAACTTATTGTACCTAATCTATGCACATAAAGTGCTCTCTTTCATATCTAAATTCAACTTATGAGATTTTATTGTGATTTTCCTTTTCTATTCCGACGTTTTATATTGCTGATGCTATTCAAAAAATCATAAATTTCTATTCATTTCATTTCGAATTGCATATCCACATTAAATCCTTTATTATGTAGATCTACTGCAGTCGTATACAGGAAAGACTTTTTTTTAATGCTAGTATAGTTTGGAATTTTGGTTTGTTGCTAATGTTAAATATTTTTTTTTGAAAAGTCATGAAATAGGAGACTAGCGTCTTAAAAAAAAGTCGGACACACACGTTTTATCAAATTAAATAAGGTTAAAGAAGTTTAATCTATTAAAAAGCTAGCTGACTATACTAGCAATCCTGCATGTCTCTAGATCGAAGCCAGATTACTGAGCTCGAAGACGGATTAAACTTTGAACGATTAAGTTCAAATCGGGAATCGAACACGCGTCCTTACGATTTCCGATCTTATACTATTATTATTGAGCTATCGGGGACTGCTAAGAAGCTTGGCAGAATGTCATCTTAAACTATTTTATGATCTGAACAGTATCTTTGGCATTATCGTTGATGAACCTTTACTTGGAAACTTCCAGGAGAATCATCACGACTTCATCCAATTCTCATCTCGATATCAAACTCTTAACTAGAAACTTAGTCATTGACAACTAGAAGTGAATAGACGGTGATTCAGGAATGTCTTTACAGAATCTAAAATCGCTCAATTAAAGTTAATAATTTGAAAATCTAACAACTTAATAGCTCTTGGTCCACCATCCGCATTAGGTTTTAAACACCTGTTTCACTTTGATGACCTTACGGATCAATTGTGATTCAAGGCCTCCCTCAGATGCTGCCTAAAACTGGCTCTATGGCTGGCTACCGCTTGCCAATTTCCTATACCATATACAATACTATCTCTATCAACAGCCTCTTTCCATGAGTTTTTTGGCCTTCCACGTACTCTTTTTCCATCAACATCTAATCGTTATAATCAACAAAATTTCATACAAACTAAAAGTAAACCTCATCAAAATTAGCACACAAAATATTCTAGTAAATATTATTATTTTACTCTTCAACATCAGCAACACCAGTAGCAATAGATGAGAAATAAGATTATGGCATTTAGTAGCGTGTCTACAATTTTCGCAATAACTTGCAATAAAATAATTCAAACTTACCGACTAAATTCTAATGCTTGAAAAAAAAGGAGACAGAAATCATGTTCAATTTCACATGTGATCACATGCAACATACTCGGATGTTGTGCTGAGAACGGAACTAAATTGTTGCAATGTGAATGGATTGTGATGTTAAGTCACTTAATTCATACTCGAACTGGAAATAAAGTATAAAATATGAAAATCCACTCACGGTTGAATATATATTTTTGTTCTGTCTCAATGCAAGTGGATTTAAACACGGCAGCAACAGATGTAAAGTGCATAAATGTCGACATATCATTTCAGAATGTGCAGCATATACACCAAATAAATTTTCCTGTGATTTGTGTGAATGAATTTTACGATTTTTCAATTTTTCTCTATTTTTTTTTTTTGTCATTAAATTTATGGATGCGATTGCTACAAATGGCTTTTGAGATTCCTTTGGTTTTTCTGAAACACATAAAAATAGAAGAAAAAAAATCGAAAAACGATAATAAAACTTCTCGATGTAAACATTTGTGACTGCTTTTTGTGGGTTATTTTTGGTGGTGAAATGGAATAAGAAAAATATCGCCGAATAGATGTAAAAAAATGTCTGATTTTTATTCCATAATCGAAAGTGTGCTTAACACAAGCTGTCATAACGTTAAATAATGTGTATGATGCAGTAAAACTGAATGGAAAATATGAAAGAAATGATATTTTATTTGTGAGAAATCGATGAGTATTGAGTGTGATTTTTTGGGTTAAACTGAGTAGATTTGGTGGTTTTGAAGGTTTTTTTTTCGGATACTTTAAGGCTGATATAAACCTGCTGTTTCTCAAATTTGAAGTTTTCAATCAGGAGCATAGCAAAGAAATTGACAAGAACCAGAGCTCGAAGTCGAAGAAATTTTGTATGGAGTCAAGTTCGAGCTCTGACAAAAACAGTAACTTGTGCATCTTGTTATATGAGGATATAAATTAAGAAACCGTTCAATGAAAAGTTCTGATTTGAGATTCAATAATTAAGTTCAAATATACTTAATATGCCAGTTTAATTCTAGCTCCTGTTAAATTTCTATTGAAGAATATTTCAAATATTTTATTTCGTTTTTTTACAATAAAATTTTTAACTTTTTGACCTAATGGCTTTTAAATTTGAAGCTGAAAAAAACTAAATTACCCTTAAAAAAATTCCAAAAAGTTTCAACAAAATCTAAAAGTTCATTCTCAAAAAAAAAAAAAACTATTCACATACTCCACAAAAATAGCCATAGCGCCAATAATACAATATGTTGTACTTATAAATTCACAATCCAAAGTTAATTTGTATGCAAATGCAGCTTATTGAGCAACAAGTCCAAAAAACGATTGAAAATAAATAAAATTAATTGCAATCAAATTTTTATCATACAATCTGACATCATAAATCACAAAATATTGTTTACAAATAAATCGATTAAGGTAAAGGCACGTACATATCTGCATATACAATAACTTAAAGTTCTTTTTTCATTTTTATAACTTTACCAAAATTTATTTTTCAATTTTTGTTCAATATAAAAACAATATAAGCAATGATGTAGGTCCATTTATGATATCGTGCACGTATTAACTGAATAATGCTGCTATAAATTCTATTATTTTTCTTCTTCTTCGTCTTACATCTGTTTAAGTTTAAAATTTTACACGCGTTGATGAAATAAATTAAATTTTGGAAGCTTTTAAAATATTGCTAATAATTTATTGGATGAGTTGTAAGTAGTGTAAAATGAAAAGATAATTTATTGGCTGAGAAGTTTGGTGACACAAATTTTGGTGTTAAAATTAGATGATTTAGATGTGGTGGGATAGAAAATCTTGAATTCAGAAATTTTTAAAACTTCTGAAACCTTTTTTTCTCGGTCAGAATTAAAATTAAATCATAAATCTACTCAGGCCTCTTTCCCTAGGTTAAAAGTTGACAAACTGCAACATTTGGTTTAAAACAAATTTATCACCACGACAGGTGACCAAAGATGCTGAACTGATAAATTATTATTTTTTCTTAATCTTTGTTGATCATTAGTTTTGATTATTTCATCAGATCCGCATCATTGCAGTTGACCCGAGTACCTCTAAAACCAGTTTGAAATGTTTCTTTAAAATAAATTCTAAAATTATCTATTTTGCTCGCGAATCTATATTTAGCTACTTTTATCACTCCATAAAACACATAAAATGTCTGAGAATGTCCATTATCACCCAATGCCAATAAGCAATAAAATAAATCATTTTTTTAAAGAAACTTGTTTCCACTTTTCCTTCATAAATCTCCACGACAATAATTTCATCAATTAAGAAAAGTTGTTAATTAACCTCGCCAAATTACCATTCCAACATTTTTACTTCATCAAATGACATAGTAGCTTCACATCGACGTCTGTTTTCAAGCCCAAAGGCATGTTTGTATTCAACATATTTTAAGCAAAATACAAACTTTATCTGTTTAATTTTCATTTTCTCTGTTTGTTGTTTTCGTCATCATAAAACAAATTTAATTTAAGATAAATAAATCAGTATGGAGAATGTTTTTTGAGATGATTTTAAGGAATGAGAATTATTTTGTCTGGTGCTATGACGATAATTTATTTTGTGGTGGAATTGATTGAAGTAAAGTTGTTTGTGGGTGATTATTTATTAATTTCAACATTTAAGATGCAGCTACAAAAATAGTTCTTGGTGTTCCTTGACATCGGAAACTTATGAAACCTTCGAGGTCCAAAATATTCACAAAATTTTCTTCAAACATTCAAGATAAACATAATAAATTTCCATAACAAAACTAATTAGCGATGCAGACAAATATTTATCATCAATTTGTGTCAAAATTATCTCATAAAATATCTAAACAGCAGTGCAAAAAAAACTTATGATTTATTGCAATAAAAAAATTTAATCCCAAATCTAATAAATAAAGAAGGGTTCAAGCATCTCAACGGAAAAAAAACTGATGGCACTGCAAAATTTCAATATGCAAAATTACATCAAACTTATTTCCAAACTCAAACTTTTCATAATTGATGAAAGCAAATGTTTGGATTTCCATCAACCTTAAAAATGTTCATTCACGATATCCACAATAAAGGAAGATAAATTGTGATGCCGGTTGTGGATGAAAAAAGGGATAGCTGATAAAGCAAATAAAAAAAACTTTTAATCAGTTGATTACTGTAAATCTGAATGCTTCATCATAAGTTGCAAAAGAGAGTAAAACTGCTTATTTCAGACGAAATAAGGCAGCTAGAAATAAGAGAAGAAAAGAAGTTTATTTACAAAGTTAGCTCCCCTGACTGGCAATAGCATAAGAAAAAGTAACATAAAGAAATGTAAAAAATTATTCAAAGTTTGTTTGCATTTCCCGGTGCTAAGACTTTTTATTGCTTCATGGGGATAGTCCAATGCTTCTGGGATTGAAACCAAAAAAAGGTAAACACATACATGTAGATGCTTATATGTAAAACAGAAGCGATAAAAATCACGGATAAAAAGAAAAACTTTATTTGAAAGTCAAGGCCTTAAAGAGGATTTTTTTATGAGTTGGATGTGATTTTAATGGTGAATTGAAGATTATGTGATGGGTTTGGAATGTATTCTGATAGATTTTGGTAGGTCAAGGCTTTGACTTCACTGTTCGATCAGCCAGACTTACTTCACACTTAAGAAAACTACAAATTGATCAATTTTTCACTCAAATTTAACTATTTTCACAACAAAACAACTTAATAATCTACAATTATATTAACACAATTATAGCCCTTCCAATAAATCACTCAAAAAATTAACAATCCTATTCACACATCAAAGATTAATCCACAAAACCTACAAACAAACCCCAAAACTATCATTTTAAAATTTTTATAGCTTCACACACAAAGCTTGCGACTAGAAGAATAAGAAAAATTTACGTAAATAATTTAAACTTGCTCCCCGTCTCATTCTGATCGCTTTTTTTTCTACTTCAACAGTTCTTAAATTGGTTTTGTTGTGAAACAAATTTTTTATTCTTACTGTTTTCTTTATTATTTAAATATGTTTATGTAAAACTGACTATTGAGAATCATTTTGACCAAGGAAAAAAGTTTCTCGTTTGTGATGCTTAAATCATTGAATTGGAATGGGTTGGGAGTTTACTATTGTGATGGCTGGTGGAATTGTTTGGATTTGTTTCTTCTTAAAGGTTTTGTTATGCTGAATGGTGACTAATGTGGTTCTAGAAGATAGCAGAAAATGGATTCTTCCAAAAAAAGGGAAGTCTTGACTACAACAAAATATAAATTTAAGGAAAAGGATAATTAGAGGTGTATTCCCAACGTTTTTAGAGAGATTAAGCTCAATCATATGTTTTGAGCTCTAAAACAAAACCTACATTCACAAACATCAGTTGACATTTAATTTTGTCTTTGGAAAATTTTTTGCATTTTTATTTTTTAAGAATTCCTTATTTGTTTCCTCTAAATTTATCCTCTGACGTAAAATATTCCATCACCTGCTACATTTCTTACCCACTTGATAATATTCTTCAGAGAATTGTAAAAATAAATCAAGTGTTCAACTAAGCACCAAAAATAAATTCATCAAAGACGTGCATTACCAAAATAAATATTTTATTATAATCATCAACATTCTTCAAATTCTACAGAAAGTGTGTGTGCGTAAGACAATCATTATAATATACATAAAGATTCTATTTGTGTCTACCGTCTATTCCAACATTCAGTTATATTAAAATGATAATCTTAAGTATTCACCCACGCAGTAATAAGAGAAAAAAGCTTTTAATACAAAAGCGATTACATTTTTCACATAATCATCATTAACAGCTCTAATCGTACATATTATTGATGATACTCAATTCCATTAATACATTTTGAATGAAGTGCTCTCATTTATGTAGCAACGATTGACAAAAAAAAGTCTTTATTATTTCTTATTTTGCCATCAAATGCCAGTAAATAGTAAGAAGATTTTTAAAAGAAGAAGAAGACAATAACAAGACAACGACGAAGGGAAATTGAAATTTCTTCAACTGATAAAAGAAGATGTTGCTTGTTGATATTATTTTCTGCTGCTGCTAAAGAAAGCATGTCATTGAAATGGAAATAAAAATAATAAAAGAAGGACTTGAATGAGAATAATAATGCTTTTGAGATGTCATCTCATCGTATTGTGGCTCATCGTATTTTTGATGTATATATAACAGTCTTGATTCTAGTGAATTTTTTTTAAAACTTCAATTTTGAAATTTTAAAATTATTTTTTTATCTTTTCCAACAAACGCGCTCAAAAATTCCCCCAAAAAATTCAACAAAAAGAAGAAAAAAATTTTGCAATACAATAATTCGATTAAAAAAAAATAAAGAAATCCTCGTCATGTAGTTATAATTGAAACATTAAATTTTTATGAGAATTGTGATTTCACTTAAATTGACTCTAAGCATCCCTATTATTATTATTACGACAACGATAATGCTGGTGGCAATGTTGTGTCGATTTTCTTATTATTAAAGAATTTATAAATTGAATTAAATTAAAATATCTTGTCTGATTTCTTTGTTTGCAGACAATTGCCAGTGCCAACAAAGCTTAATGGAAATGGAACATCAATTCCACTTCCAGCGACAGTTCTTGTTGCTAGGAGATCAACTGAGAAAGGACGAGGAATTCCAGTACCTAATGGACAGTCAAGTATGATTAGGTATCCATCTGGGACACCATCGTCCGAGAATAGCAGACCGAGTAGTCCACCGGATCTTAAATCCAATGATAAATTAAGGTAAGTCGATGATAAATGTAATTTTGAGATCAGCAGCTAAGAAATTTATTTTTATCAAATTCAAACAGATTTCAACAGAACTCTAAAATTCCACCGTCGCCTTACAACATCGCCCACGATGCATCAATGATATCAAATGTTAGTGAAAATGCTCAATCTACCATACAGCAGTCAAACGGAACGGTAAAGCAATCAATGCTTGACAAATTGAAGCTCTTTAACAAAGATAAAGAACGTTCAAAGTCATCAAAGAGAACCAGTTCTAGTAGCGGTTTCTCATCAGCACGCAGTGATTCAAGTTTGAGTCTTAATAACGATCCGAATGCGACATCAGCAACAAAGAATAAGAAAAATGATGCATTAACTAAAGTAACGTCATCATCGTCGTCGTCAACTGTCTCAACCCAAAAGTCATCAAAACTTTTAGCATCGAAGGGAATAAAGGAGACACCTGGACTTCCATCAGCAATTAAAATGCAATCAAAAAATGAGAATAAGAAGGAGAAAAGTTTGGGACGAAATATTTCAGACGAGAATATAACAAAATTACAGAAAGTACCGACTGTAAAGTTTGTACCGCAAATACAGCAAATTAATCAAAATGATCTCAGAATTAAGCAACCACTACAGCCACAACAACAGCAGCAGCCGGTTTTACGTAAAATTGAAATCAGAACAGACATGAAGACAGGTCTGACACAGTCACAATTAATGCAGCATCAGCAACATCCAAAAGCCATCATTCAACCGACACCGGTTATAACGAGCATTCCAAAGCCAATGGCTGCTATAAAAGGAACAAGTAAAACGATTCACAACGAGATAAAGCGTGACGACATTAATTTTGATGCCAAAATAGATAAGCAGCATATCCAACATCTCAATAATAGTAGCATGTCACTTAATAGTGAGCATCATAAGATGCAAGTTGTTAATCCACTCACCATGAGTCCACTCCATAATCAATTATTGATTCATGCAAAATGTAATGGCTCGTCGCAGTCAATGAGCGATAGTATCCATTCAGCATCAACAAACAATCACTCAAATTCGAGTGAATCGAGTGTCATTTATCGACCGAGTGCATCAGAATCTGGTGGATCTGAGTTTTATCATTCAAATATGCCGACAATGCAACAACATCGTAATCCCATACCAAACCGTAAAGTGGATCATTTTAATGATCCGTTGCTAACAGTCGCCACGACAAATGGACATAAATTCAATACAATACCGTCAAAGATGAATGGTGCAGCAATGGGAATTGGCAATAATCACATGGCAACAATAATATACGAGGATGGAAAGCAGCAGGGATCATCGGTCGTACCATTGCGTTCAATAATGCGAAATTACAATAACAACAATAATCATCATGTTACACTACCTACTCGTGGAGCACGTGGTGGTCAGAATTTAGTAAATGGCTATTATGATGAACACAATCAAGGCTATTGTAGTGATGGCGATGCTTTACGTAAAACTCAGATACGTTATACAGACATTGAAAACGGATACTTGTCTGAGGGTGGTGTAGGCGGAAGTAATGGAGTATCGAATCCACATCTCATGAGCATTTTTCGAAATCGACCGCAATTACCAATGACCATTGCTGAAGAAAGGTAAGGAAATAATTTTTCTAGAGATGATTGAACATTTTTCAGACCAAGGGAAGGGGAGATGAATGACTTTTGAATGGGATTTAGGGATATTACTGTAGAGATGATGAGAATGAAAATTTTTGAGGTTAAAGCAATTGTTGCATTTTATGGAATAAACTGGCTGAACCACAAATTTTGCTAATTACACTTTAGGTATACAAACTTTTCAGAGGCAGAGTCAGGGATTGTTAAAAATGGAAGGGAAGTCTCTATAACAAATTTTGATAACTTTCTAGACATTAATGGACTCAAACCTCTTCCTAAATACGCTCATAAATTATCTAAGCACTTCCAAAAACCTCTAAAATTCCAATTAATATTTTTAAAAACACCAAATCCAATTCACTAAATTATAATAATAATTAGCTCTACATAAATTAGCCAAAATCATTTTCATGACGTCACTTCCATGTACATGCATCCACAAAACCAGAAAATAACCGTAATTTATATCTTTTTGATGAATCATCCGTAAAATAATATTTTTTTGTGTGCTCACTGTAACTATGGCAAATATCCTCTAAGGGCATTAACATTTAATTTTAATGTGCAAATTGGTGAACGTAATTGAGAAAATTAAAGGAAAAAAGTTTGTGGTTGGAAGCATAATGAGATGCGTAGTACATTAAAATTGAATATTATTGTGCTATTTATACAGATAGCTAATGGTAAAAACCATCAAATGGAGTTGCAATGGTAAAAAAATATCATTTTTATTTCAATCACAGAATGTGTTGACATGCGAATACCAAATCAAGAGGCGCTGATTTTTCGACCGAAAATGAAATTAAAATAAATGTCCTTTCCGGAACGAAAAAAGCGGGGGGGGGGGGGGGGCAGTCAGTAGTGAAAATGGTGCTAGAGTCGATGAGATAATGGAATGGAAATCGTACTTGTGTACTGTCATAAAAACATGTTGACATCAGCATCAATGACAGCAGTTTTCAAATAAACCTCAAATTTACAAACATTTCCATTATGATGAGTTTGTGTAATGGGACGAGGGTTATTGTGGATGTGATGCATTTTCTGAATTTTCTGAGTTTTTCAAGTAAAATTAAATAATTGCTGTAAGAATTGGGAATGTTTCAAGCACATCTATCAGCTAATTTGAAAAATCTTTAAGAATTTTGAGGTTACATTCCTCAAATCCAACTCCAATAAGTCTGTTATCGTTAAATGCAATTCTCACTTTAAAACTTCATTTCTGACACATTAAATTCATTCAAGCAGTTTTACATGCAAGAATTCTCTTCCTGCTCCCTCATCATCCCAATCAATCCATTCCATTTAATGTAAATTCAACATCAGATTTATTGAATTAGAAAATTCTGTCATGAAACTTCATGACTCAACATATATTTTTCTTCCCAACATGTTCATACATTCTTCAGCACAAATCGCATAAAAAAATTATTTTTTCGATGTATTTATGAAAGCAACAAGCCACGCCATGCCATGCTTTAGTATAAAATAAAATTTGTTGGGATTCCTTTTTGTTTACATTTTTACAATTCGCTGTGCATGCAAAAAATAAAAATAAAATATATAAAACCTTTTTTCAATGTTAACAGCAACACATGTGTAGATGATGCTAATTTCTCTTTAATCTGATAAGGCTTTTGTTGCATGGCTGCTCATTCAATTTAGTTGAAAATAAATTTTTCATGACACACAAAAAAGAGTCGTGCTGGAAATTGCACAAATATTTTGTTCTGTTACTTTGTTGTCGAATGTAATGTTGAGGATGTAAAAGGATTGTTTGGAAAGGATTATTTGAATGAGTGAGCTTTGCATTGTATGAAGCTAATAATGGACTTAAAATTGTAAATAGAGAAAAAGGGATTTTGGATTGAGATGAAAATTGCAGCAATTTTCTGGATTTTAATCAAGCAAATTTTTATGTTATGGGAAGTTTACTGGAAATGAGCTGACTGCTTGGGAACTTTAATGATTTTTGGATCTGAGGAGGAATAGATTGAGAATAATGTGTGCCTATTTGATCGATGAACTTTACAATTTTTGAATAACTTCAACCATTTTCGACCCCAACTTAGGTCTCAATCTCTAGATGCCCGAATAGTACAAGTCGGTTAATCGAATAGAAATCTGATGCCAAGTTGGCGTGACTCTAGCATGGTGTTGGCTTCGGGTCAAATCTAGCACCATGCCAAAGTCACACCGTATTGGTGCCAGACTTCTGATCGATTTACCGACTTTATTCCATTCGGGATGCTTACTATAAAGATCCACTGCGACTTAAGGGTGCCTTGTTAAACTGCTGATCGAGAAATTTTTATATTTTAACTTAAAACTATTCATCTAGTCCCAATAAACCAATCAAATCAACAAATTCTACCAGAAATTTTAAATAAATCCAAAAAGATTTTCCTAACACAGCACAACAGCATAAAGCATCAATCCTACTACTAATCCCAAGCCTCAATTCAATACTCCAACAAAAAAATTGTTATCCGACTTGTTATTTTCTTATTGACAGGCTTGTTTTGAACCGAATCAAATATCAAATAAATGCCTTGCTTATTCAGATTTTTTGCTGCTTCAACTTTTGCCTTTTCACACATATCCTTTTACCCATCAATTCAAAATAAATAAAAGAAAAATTTCGCATGCCAATCATGTCCCTCAGCAATAATGAGAAGTTCTATTGAGATGAAATCCAGAGTTTTATGTTACATGAAAAAAATTTCACTCAATTTTTTCCTCATTTATTTTTAAATAACATTCATTGATTCATTTTGTTCATTCATGTGAGCAAATGAAATGAAAGAATATATAGCATTGAATGACAGGCTAATCTCTGAGAAATCTTTTGATCCTTTTTCTTCTTCTTCTCTTATTGTCGAGTAATCGATTGATTTGGTAATTTTTGCTATTTTCATCGCATAAAAAAAAGTTCGAATTGCTTCTTTCATTTTTGCTCTTTCAACACGAATCAAATAACTTTTCAATGTTTAATTTAAAAATGGGAGAGAAAAATAAGATTTGGTTCTGGAGTCGCTGCACCGATGGAAATTTTTTTTTAAGGTTTTTAGATTCTTGAGGTTTAACAGATTTGTGGGATTAGAAATGTTCACTTTAGGCATAAGTCGCTAAGCTTCAATCATATAGATTGATAATTACAGTTCTAGTGCTAAACTAGCTAATCATTTGTTACGGTTCGGCACTTAAGTATCACTTTCCCATATCCTACCACTTAAGCCTGCGATAAGTGATCTTAACAGTATGCAGCAAAAGCCTTTTTTACTAAGTTCTTTCTTATTTAACAAAATAGTGGACATTTCTCTAAACAGCTGTGTTTAAGCCTTGACATGTGGATCGTAGAGCATAGTTTCATTAACACTGATTGGCTAGTGACCAAAACTTAGCAATAGAGTCTATAATATCAAGTTTTAAAAGCTATTGGGATATTAAGTCACTTTGAACCAAATTAATCAGTCTATCGAAATAAGTTGAAGTAAATAAAATGAATTCAAGTCAGTTCAACTAAAATCAAGTCAAAAATGACGAAATCCTCAGCCCACAATCCATTGTATTCCCACTTTAATCAAATTAAGTTCACCTCAAAATAAAATTCAATTTTCACAAAAAGTTTCACTACCAACGCCACTTTTTTTTAGAAAACCCACACAAAAGTTAAAAGAAATTTCTCCCCTCAGTGTACATGTAACACAAATTGCTTTGACATTGATGATTATTATGTAAGCTTGCCATTTTCATGCTCGCTGCTCTCTCTCTTTTTGTATGTGAATCAAACAAAGGAAAAATGAAAATTGGAAAAAAAATGAAATGAAATTTATTGATTCATGTTGTGATGTAAACGGAAGCAAGCAAAACAAAAAAACGAGGAATTGATGACAAATGTAGATGGATTGATGGGGGTTCGAGGGAATATTTCAAATTGAAATTTTTTTTCTGTCTCAATTGCAGAATAATCAAGAAGAAAGACTTTCGTCACCAATATTTTTTTTATACTTCATATTTCTCATGTCTGAATTAAAACAAGTGGAAGCTGATATGACAACAATTCATGTCACAAACAATATAATATTTAACTGAAATGCGACATTCACCAAACAATTGTTGTCTGCATCATCATCCAAACCCCTCCATTTTTATAAATATCTTAAGAACTTTATCATTTTTATTTTCCTCATTCTCAATTTTTTTTATATATTTTCATAAATATCACAATTGTGAATCAAAATGAACTTTAAGTGCCATACCAAACAGATTAAAGTATTATTATTGTCGTTATGAGCATCGATATTGAGCTCGAAAAAAAGTTTTTTTCTTTATCCTTAAATACATTTCTTCTTCTTATGCTGCCTACTATTGCTCCGTTTATCATCATCATCAACTGTGAATGATTGTGCGTAGAGATATGAACAGTTGTGAGTGCGTAATGTATAACAATTCTTAAAGTGCTACCAGAAATAAATAACCAAACTTTTACTTCGTCTTCATCGTGCTTTTTTTCTTGGCTTCTTCTTGTTAGACAATATTTGCACATAAAGATGGATGTGTTGTGCTGTATAGTTTTGAATTTTGGTATGTAAGAAGCGTAAACCTTTAAATGAGACTTAATCTTCCTGCATGATCATTTGATGTATAGCCCTTAAGTAAGATCCTTCAAAAATTGGGTTTTTTTATTCCATCCTTCCTCTTGTCACAACATTTTTATGAAAAAACTTTTCTTTTGTTAAAAACCATTACAAAACTACAGACATCCTAGAGGTCGGACGTCATTTATGAACGATCCCTTATTAGTCTTTTATTATTAGTCTATTTATTGAACATCAGAAACTCTTAAAAAACCTTTACCTATTCAAATGAATTGTGATCCAGAGGTGCGCTATGGCGATTCGCAGCAAATGAGAGTTTAACGAGTGAGTGCTAAACCACTGCACTCAAACCTAGACCTACAATATATAGTGGAA